CCATTTACTTTGAACTCAGAAGAGGCTGGGCAACTGGCCATTGGTCACCCAGTTTGTAACAGGTGGCACACTATCTAGGTGGGCCTGAGGGAAAGAGGGATGCTGGCAGGGTGACAGTGTCGGGGAGAGATGAGCCCAAGTGCACAGAGGAGGAAGCAGATCCCAGCGGCAGCCATGGTGGGGTGGGAGGAGGAAGGCGGCCTCTGCTGGTCCTGCAAGGCCCAGGCCCTGCTCCTCGCCTCAGCCCACCACTCTGGGGGCCCCTGCACCAGCTGCTCCTCACAGACAGAAGAATCAAGGCCCAGAAAGAACTGCCACTCAGAGTCACGCTGCTCAGTGGCAGAGTCTACTTCCCACTCCTACAGCAGGAGGCAGTGATGGGTCCAGATGGCACTGAAGCCACCCCCTCGGCCCCACTCCCCAGCTATGCCCCCCCTTGCACCAGCCAGCCTGGGCTTTTAACCTAGGTCCTTTCCTCTGCAGACAGACACATTTCTACCTGTCAAACCAGTTTCAAGGACTAAATGTTCCGCACAGGTTTCAACGAGAACAATGTGGCCTTTCCACTCCCTTGGATATACTTTTAAGGACACTGCCCCCACCACCCTCTCCTCCCCTAAAACTCAGAGGACTGGAGACGGTGGCATGTTTGGGCCTCCTTCCCATTCAGACACCACTATTTCACACCAGATGCTCCTGGTGGGCAACCCTGCCATGCACGCCTGGACTGCTGGCCAGGGAACCAGGAGTGAGTTGTTGGCAGGGCTGGGGTGGGGGCAAGACGCCGGGACTGTGCTGGTGTCACATGCTCCGCTCACAGCTCTCCTCAAACGCCTGTCTTGCAAGCCCCATGCTGCGCTCAGCTGCAACCAGGGACACCAGCCAAGCCTCGGGTCACTCCTGCAGTTAGGTCTGGAAGGGTTCCTGGCACAAGGTCAGCTTTGGTCCTCAGAAAAACTGGGACCACAGGGCCTGCCCCTTGTGGTGGGTGCAGCTGGTTGTCCCCTCCCTGACAGCCACGTGCCCAGCCAGCAGTGCGGAAGCTGCCTCTTCCACTCCCAATCTCTACCCACCTCCTCACCAAGCTTCCCCACCCAGCCATACACACCTCTCCTGGCTCGCAGCCGCGTGCGGTTGGGGCTGTCCCAGCCTCTCAGACGTCTGAGTGGTCTGCGGACACAGATCACTGGCCCCGTTTTACAGGTAAGGAAACACAATGCCCAGCAAGACGTCAGAGAGCCAGGCCCACCTGGAACTCCACCGCCCGCGGTACAATCTGCCCGGTGGCTCGGCCCGGCACCTGCTCTCTTTTCCTTGTGGCGGTGGGGCATCAGACGGCCACTGATGGAAAATACAGGCAGGTCCTCAGCAGGGGGAACCCTGGGACAGAGGCCTGGGAGGGCCCTCTGAGGCTTTGGGTTGGGCCTCCATAGGCAGAGGCTCTCCCTCATGGCAAGTCCCTGGGTCATCTCACTTTCAGAAAGCCCCCATCCCAGACCCTTGAAAGACACCCTCAGAGAGACACCCAGAGGTTCCCACCCAGTTCCTGGCCCTCTGCCACCACAGCTGGAGGTTTCTCCCCACCCTGGGACCCCCTGTACCCCCCAGCTTAGGCAACTGCTCCAAGTCCAGGGAGAAGCAGAATAGTCTCTGGATGGCCTAGTCTCCCTCGGTTCAGACCTGCCAGCTCCACTGTCACTCTCTGGCCTTGGGTGGAGTCATGCCACCCAGCAGGTCCCACATGAACTCATCCATCACTCTTCCCTTCAGACCCAGAGCTCAAATGACACCCCTGCCACACAGAGTGCAGATACCAAATCCAAGGAACCTCCCACTCCTGTTCCCAGAGGGATCCCTCCTCCCTGCAGCCCCCACCCCCACCAGAGTCCCCTGGCCTCTCAGCTGGGCCCTGGACCAACTCTCTGTGCCACAATTCCTCTACCCCGGGGGAAGCACCCCACATCCTACAGCCCCAAGCCAGTCAACACCCCACTGTCCTCCCAGGCAGAGGTTATCACCTGCTCCTTGGTGTTGACAGGTCTTCTGACTTTTGTGTCCTGCAAATTCCACTGTCCAAACTCACCAGCTTCCCAAGATCCCTCTCCTGCCAGTGTCCAAGTTCACACAACTCCTTCACTGCCAGGCCAGCTCCTGCAGCCCTCTCTCCAGCCAGCTTGGGCCCATCCTTCCACCCCATCATGTCATCGCCTCTCCACCACCCACCCACCCAACTCCCCTGGAGGGTGAGACCCTTTCTAAAGCTCTGGGAATGATACTCCCTCCTGCAGGGCATCACCACCTCCGCCTTACCCAGAGCAGGCCAATCAGCACTCCCATCCAGCCCTCCCAGCCAGGCTCCAACTGACCCCCTTCAGATTCCCATTCATCCCTCCCCACAAACTTCTGCCTTTCCCAAACTGTTCACGATGCCAGGCATGGGGGGTGGGGGTACACGTTTAATCCCAGCAACTCAGGCAGCTGAGGCTGGAGTTTCACAAGTTCCAGGTCAGTCACACCAATTCTCTTAAAAGATGAAGCTGGACACGGTGGCGCATGCTTGTGATCCCAGCAGCTAGGCAGGCTGAGGTAAGGCGATGGTGAGTTCAAAGCCAGCCTCAGCAACTTAGTGAGTTCCTAGGGAACTCAGTGAGACCCTGTCTCTAAATATTTAAACAAAGGCTGGGGACATGGCTCAGTGGTTGAGTGCCCCTGGGTTCAATCCCCAGTACCAAAAAGTTAAAAAAGAAAGAAAAGAAAAAAGAACTGGGATGTAGCTCAGTGGTAAAGCATCTCTGGGTTCAATTCCCAGCACCAAAAATCAAAAGGAAACAACTAACAAAACAAAACCACCCTGCCATTGAGAAAACAAACACCAAACACCAAGCTGCCTGGATAACAGCTGCTACTTATGTGACAGGAATTCCCAAGGACTGTCTAGTTGATCTTCACAGCTAGCACCTCCATTTGCAGAGAAAGAAAAAGGAGGCTGAGAGAGGAAAAGCTGCTTCCTCAAAGCTGAACCTTTTCTGAGAACCTACAGACCAGAGGCATAATCCCCACCCGTGTCCAACTCCCAGGAGCCCTCACCGACCCTCCAGCCCACAAATCTGCCGCCATCTTTACACATGTCCTGGAAGTTTCTGAAGCCTCAACTAGGCCCCTCCCTAGCCAACTCCACTCTATTGGCACCTACGCAAGCAGAAGTTGCATTAATAACAACTATATGCTTGCCTAGCATGTGTGAGGCTCTGGGTTTTACCACCCCCCCCAACACTGCCCCCGGTGCCACAAGGAACAAACCAGTAACACCAAAAAACAAGACAACCACCACAATAACTGCAATTTCAGGAAGACTTAGCCTGGACAATCATTTTGCATATGTGATCTCATCTTGTCTTCTCCCAAACCCTGCGCCACAGGTGTTGCTGCCCACATTCCAAATGGAAAAAGTGAGGCTCATGAGAGTTGGGTAATCACCCCGAAGTCATGAAGCTGGCACACAGAAAGGTCAGGATTTGCCCCACAGCCTCTGCTTTAACCATCCTGCTCTCCTCTCCAGGCCGTTCCCTTCCCACTCTGAACTCCCTGGACTGGCTATCATGCAACAGCCAGGGCTCATTCTCACTCCTCCTTCCCCCAGTCCCAGGCTCCCAAGCCCTCCAACCCCACACTGCTCCACTAGCCCTGGTGTCTGGAGCCCAAAATTTGGCTGGGTCTCAACACCAAGAGTCTTAAATTAACCATCATCTCTGACAATAACTAGACAAACTGGCATTTATGGCAGGCTCCCTGTGTGTTCAGTTTCCAGTGACCAAGTGTCCCACCCCTACATCAAAGCCACCAATTCCTCCAATGCCCACAGACTGACTACAGTGCCTCTCCTTTCCTCAGGCCAGCAGACCAATGTCTACAGAAGCAAGGCCAGTCAGGTCCCTCTCTTCACAGGCCACACCCCAGTAAAACTGACTTCTCCAGTGAAGAAGCAGGCTGAAAGGGGCTGTCCAAGTCCCCATCCCTGTGGGTCCAATGTATGTGTCCAGCTGCCCTTTCAGCCCAACCTTCTCCTAGCATCCAGGGACCTGGCCCTCTCCTAACCCCCACAGGCCACCAGACTTCAATGCTCTCGAAGCCTACTCACGAGTGATTCCAACTCCTAACTTCATAACATCCCCAACTCGTTCCCAAAAGGAAAACCAGATCCTTCTAGACCAGGCCCCAGCTTCCTCTGTTCCTGAACGACAAACAATCCTCTGCTTCCCTTTTTGGGGGGAGGAGAAGGTGACATGCAGTGGCTTTTCTTCTGAATTCCTAACACTGCCTCTGACTATTCATCCCACCAGGAAATTTACCTCCACCTCTGCTCTTTGCCCGGGATTCCGCGCCCCCATCCCCGCCCCCCAGTGCCTGGAACTTGCTGGGCAAGTGCCCTGGAGTTCACCCTATTCACTTTCCCCAACTGAAGGATTTACCAGCTCCTCTGCAGCCAAAATCCGGGTTTATTCCTTTCTCCTTTCAACCAGGAAAGTGATCAGCATGAGGACCCCTTGTCTCGAGGCTTATCGACCAACGACTTAATCTCTCGCCATCCCCACGGGCCTATCAAATTCCTCCAACTGCCCTTCCAGGCCGATGCTGACCCACTCTGCTTCCCCCGAAAGCCCTATCCTTCTCTGGGGGGAATTATGAGCTCAACGGTTACCACCCTCCCAGTCTCCTAAATCAACAAACCAAACTTTCTTTAATTTCTTCGTGGTCAATCCTAAAACATTCACCCTCGGCGTCCCGAGGTGGGAGGGGGCAGAAACCCAATTCTTGCCACTTTCCAACCCAACAGCCAGCCCCTAACAGCCTTCATCTCGAAATCTAGTTCGGTCTCTTTAAGTCAACCTTCGGTACAATTTACCGAGCGCCACCTCCGTGCCCGGCCTTCTCCCGCCTGCCGGTCCCCATCCAGCCCGCCCCCGCGCCCTCGCCCTCGCCCTCGCCCTCGCCGTGGCTACCGTGTCTCCAGGGGTCTTTGGGCTCCACCGCTCCGGACACGATATCCTCGTCCGACGGGAACGTAACGCGCTTGGCCGCAGTCTTGAGGCGCCCATCGGCCGGGGGTGATGCGGGACTCGGAGACCCGGCCTCGGCGGGGGCCCCCTCGGCGTCGGCGTCGGTGTCCGCGCCGGGCCCGGGCTGCTCCTCCAGCGGCGGGATCTCCATCGCCGCCGCCTCCTCACGGGGGCCCCGGGGACATGCCCCGGGCCCCGGGCTCGTCTCTCCGGGTCCGCCCGCCGTCCCGGGGCATGGGCTCCGCAGCTGCTTCAGGCGCCTCCTCCGCCCGCTCTCCTTGTCGTCGTAGTCGTCGTCGCCGCCGGGAGCCCAAGCGCGCCTCCGCCGAGCCCCGAGTGCTTTTGCTATTCGCAGTCGCACTTTCGCTAAAGGCCGAGGACCCCCGCCGAGCACTCGGAAAGTCAGGAAATCTATTTAGGCCATTTGCAGGAAGAATTGTTTTTGCAGGCAACGTGAAAAAGGGAACAAAGGGCAGAAAAAGCCACGGGGAAAAGAAACGTGAGCAGCGAATCTGCAGAGCCGGAACTGCAGAATACGGGGGGCGGGGCGAGGTGGACGCCGTCTCCAAGAGCAGCGCGCACGCGCGAAACTGAGCCACCCCCGCCCCCCGCCCCGCCTCGGTACAGGTAACTGTGTCCAGGTTCCCGTACATTCGTCACGAGCCCAGGTTATGTGGAAAGGAGGGGAACTGATAGTTATCAAAACAACTGTTTGGCAGGACTCCGCCAACTGATGAGGAGGGAATAAAGGGATGACGCTGAAAATAAAGACACTGAAAGGAAAGGCAGTGGGAGCTGCGCCGAGTATGCGTACGTACAGGCGACGGGCGCTGACAGGAGGGATCCTCTGGAAACGAAGATGCTCCCTTGATAGTCTCTAGCTTTCCATTTGCAGATTGCAGTTTCATCAAAAGCTGTATCTTGGCAGCGTTACATAAAATGTAAGTTACGATATTCAAATAAATATGATTCCGTGAGAAGTATTCACAGACCTGACCTAAAACCGGGAGAATAAAATTCCAAAGGCGAGAGATGAATCTGCCGACCCAAACACCTGGAGAGGAAGGTAGATGCCCCGCCCGGCAGAACCTGCGCGAGCTCTAGCCGCGCCCCCAGGCGTCCACTCGGCCCTCGGGATTCGCCTCCGCACTTTCGACAGGCTCTCCCAGCCCACCCAGCGACCCGGGAAGGCGGGGCTGAGACTATAAAAGGGCCTCGGGGCGGAGCGAGCCAGGTTGTTGCCTAGGCAACTAGAGAGCTAGGAGTCGCCAGCGGTGGCGATGTGAACGGAAGGTGGCAGAGAGGTTATCTGTTTGTCCCGTACATTGGCAGCAGCCCTTCTTGAGACCGAAAAGGAAACAAAAAGTCCTCTATACTTACTGGAAGGCTTCACTTACTTTCTGAACTTGAAGGGACTAAAAGGACAGGAACTTTTTAAAAAATTCCATCTGCTGAAAGATTTCTAGTGAGAGGGGACTGAGTGAAGATGGTGACATGGATGGCCATACCAAATGGAGGAAAGTCAAAGGCCAAATAGAGGAAAGTCAAAGCTTCAGGCTATCTTTTAATCTCCAGCCTCTTCTTAGTGACACCACCACACAAGATCACAGCATCCCCCCCAGTGTGGAACAGAAAAGCAAAGTCTGCAGCTTGCCATGAGCACCTGTGCAGGACCAAGTGACTCAATAAGAGCCATGCCCGTCGCCTTATAAAGGTCCATCGGGCCCACCCCAAAATTAGGTCCTGAGCCCCCATTCAGGGGTCTCCAGCCATCCCTGGGACCCGGGGTGACACAATCCCTGCACCTTTATCCAAGCTCCTCACCATCTGTATCCAGCCCCACAGGATTCCGCCCTTGGATAACCATTCTAACAACTCCTAAATTTGACTCCATCCCCCATGGAGTACATAGAAAATGAAAAACAGGAGTCAAATTTTCCTGGGATAATTGGTTATTTGGCAGGAGGGGAGCTTTGGGGCGTTATCTTCAGGGTGGTTGAATTCTGCAACCTCTCCAATGCAGTTCATCTTTCTCCAGCCCCCACCCTCCCACCCGGGTCTTCAGGAACTGGCACTGGCCCATATTTCTGTAGAGTCCAGAGTTCTGCAAGGTAGAGCATTCCTTTCAACGAGATCTGGAATTCCTAGGGTTGCAGACTTTTACAACTAGACCCTGGAGGCCTCAAAAATCCAGAGGTGCTTGGTTCAAAATTCCCAGGGAGCTCAGAACTCTGTGGGGTCCACAGTGCCTGGCTCAGGAACACTTGGAGGCCTGCGATACTGTGGCTAAGCCCACAGCAGAAGGGTGACCACAATATTGTCTTCACAGCTTGAAGGTGTATGAAATAATGTCACTACATCGAAGCAGTGCCTCAGCCTGCACACCTATGGGAGTCTGCAGCTGCGACACGTAGAAGTTGGCCACATCCAGGTCAGTGGCTCCAAAGTGGGCAGTCACATGCACACCCTCGTGCAGTGTGAAGCTCACCTGGCGACCCACCATGGCCAGCAGGCTGCGGAGGTAGCGCTCCCGAAGGGCAGCTCGGGCCCGCTGTTCCTGGGATTCTGGAGATTCTTGAAGGATGGGACACTCTTGGATTTCAGTAGCTACGCGCTTCAGAGGGGCCCTGCGTCCATCAGGGGCAAAGCCACGACTCAAGCCGTCGGGGCCCCGGGGGAGCCGGAGCACAGGCACAGGAATGGCCAATGGAGTCTGCATTATGCTGGCTGTTGAGTGAAGAACAGGGAAGCCATTAAGTGGGGGTGCAGGGCTTGAAGAGGGGGGCAGACACTGTTCTTCCAGGCATCTCAACCTGTCTAAAACATTGACTCTCCTAAAACCTGGGCCAGTATCCCCTAGCTCTCCGCCTCCTGGGAAATGGCACCACCATTCCCCCAGTGACTTGGGCCAGAATCAAAGTGTCACAGCACAGAAACATAAGCCCCACGAAGGAAGGGACTTTGATCTGCTTTTATCAAAACTTTATCCCAGTTCTAGGCAATAAATATTTGCCAGAATAATGGCCCTCAGCCTTCTCTTTCATACACACAAACCACCCAGTCCATCAGGAAATCCTGCTTCCAAAAAGATTCCTGCCTGTGCAGGAGCCAGCTGGAAAGGGCCCCTGCTGGCCAAATCTGGAAGGACTTGAACTTGAACATAATGATAGTTACAGACCACAACTACTGGAAGAAACAGAAACCAGAGTCCATAATAATTATAAATGAACGAATAAAGGGGGAGACAGGAAAGGTCTTCCTTACTACAGAACGTCAAGTAATGAATGTAAGAGGAACAATGTGTTGGAAAAATCATCAATGGATGTGAAGATTTATGGATTAAAGTTTGATGAGGAATAGAATATCTGCGTTGTCTTAAAGTACCTCCTCCTAAGATCTTTATTCTCTGTAAAGGGAAAGCAGTAACTTCATAGTGGAGATACCTGACAGACACCCCCTTTACCTGGCGACTGAAGCCAACAGCTCCAGTAATGACACCAAGGACAGAACCACATCTCTGATATTCATTCCAAAAATGGATTACCAAACTCAAATTGAGAAACATAACAAACCAACAAAACTAGTCTGGACTAAAAACAAACAAAGTCAAGGTCATAAAAGACAAAGGCTTATAAAACTATATTATGTTCATCACACCCTCCCCCTTCTCAACCCCTCCTCTGCCTCTATCCCGATGCCACCCCAGTCACTTCTCGCCTAGACTACCGCAGTCGGCTCCTCCCTGATTCATCTTCATCCCCCACAGCTGCGCCCCCCCACTTGGCCAAAGCACCCTGTTAACACGCCAGGCAGCTCACATCCTCTCCGCTCCCGCCCTCCACCAGCTTCTTTCTCAAAGCCAAAGCCACAGCCCACAAGGCCCTGCCAGCTCAGTGGGTGCCACTCTTGTTGTCCCCACTGCCACTGGCCTCCTCACTGGTCCTTGGGCACAAAGCCTGGCTGCCCACAGGGTCTCCTCCTGTCTCTGCTTGGATGTTCTTTCCCTCAGGTGGCTTCAAAGCAGCCACCTTGCTGTTCCCACCGTGGCCCAAAGACCAGGCTCAGCAAGTCCTGCTCCCCCTCTAGTGAGGGTGGAAACACCTTCCCACCAGGCTTGGCGCGTGACCTCAGTCCAGAGACAGTCCCGGCTGGGGATACAGCTCAGTGGTAAAGCCTTGCCTGGCTTATGCGAGGCCCTGGGCTCCATCCCTTGCACAGCAAGTAAATAATAAGAATGATCATGGAGACAGGACTGATGCCTCCTGCACCCTTATCAGGATTTAACAGGCTCCTGCAGATGGGGCCGGGAAACTGCTTCATGGTTCTAGGCCTTGGTCTCCCCGTCTGTAAGCAGGGACTTCCCTTAGAGTTAGCATGGGGACCAAATGACCGAACCCAAGTACGGTGTTCTGCTCAGGCCGGGGACACATTAAGTGCTGCTGCCACGATGGTAAATGCATGTAGAACAACACTGGCTTTGTGAGCAGGAGACTGAGAGGAGGACAGAGGCTCATCTGTAGTTTAGTCCCTTGCCCTCAAAAACCTAGTGACTGACGGAGGAGACTGACAAGGACTGGGCACCCAGTACCCCAGGGGGAGGTGATTCCAATGATTCTAAGTTTATATAATTTTCATGCATCAAAAATGTTATATTGGGGGGCTGGGGATGTGGCTCAAGCGGTAGCGCGCTTGCCTGGCATGCGTGCGGCCCAGGTTCGATCCTCAGCACCACATACAAAGATGTTGTATCTACCAATAATTAAAAAAAAAAAAAATGTTATATTGGGTTGGGTTTGTGGCTCAGTGGTAGAGTGCTTGCCTAGCATGTGTGAGGCACTGGGTTCAATTCTCAGCACCACAAGTAAATAAATAAAATAAAGACCCATTGACAACTAAATTAAAATAAATAGCAATAAAGGTATTGTGTCCATCTTCAACTAAAAAAAAAAAAAGTCTACTAAAAAATTGTTTTGCTGCCAGGTGTGGTGGCACAAAGCTATAATCCCAGTGGCTCAGGAGGCTGAGGCAGGAGGATCACAAATTCAAAATCAGCCTCAGCAACTTAGTGAGGCCCTGAGCAACTCAGTGAGACCCTTTCTCTCACTGTTATACAAAGCGCCTGAGTGTACCTATCTACCCACAAGTTGCCTGTCCCAGCAACCTAAAGCTCAGAGGCGGTGACAGGTCTGAATACTTCACAACTGCATCCCACTAGTTAATGGGGACTGGCTGACCAGGTGTAAGGTAGGAGGGATTATTCAGTAAATATTTTTTGAAGACTTGTAAAGATTCATACACCCAAATATTTTTAAAAGGGCTGGGAATGTGGCTCAGTAGTTAAGCATCCTTAGGTTCAATCCCTGGTACAAAAAAAAAGCTTTTCTAGACTAGGGATGTGGCTCAGTGGTAGAGCGCTTTCCTGGAATGCGCAAGGCTCCGGGTTCAAGCCCCAGTGCCACAAAACTAAATGAGGAAAGAAAAAAATGCTCAGTATGAAGGTGCACACCTGTAACCTCAGCTACTGGAGGCCAAGGCAGGAGGATCACAAATTCAAGGCCAGCCTGGACAATTTAGTGAGACCCTGTCTCACAGTAAAACAAAAGGGCTGGGGATGTAGCTCAGTGGTAAAAAGTCCCCGGGTTCAATCCCCAGTACCCCAAAAAAAGATGAAGACCTTGAGCTGGGATTGGCTCAGTGGCAAAGCCCTTGTCTAGCATGTGTAAGGCCCTGGGTTCCACCCTAGCACCTAAAAAAGAAAATAAAAAAAAAAAGACTAGGGTAGTGGGGAGAAGTGTGAGTGGGAGGGTGGTGACTGTCCAGAGAGCCAGGGAGACCATCCCCAGATGCCTCACTTTCTCGAAGCCACTTTGATTCTATTAGCAAAGCTTGGGTTTCAAGTTGAAAGCCATCCAGAATCCACAGCTTCTCCCCACCACTACTCTGCCCTTTTCCTGGGTCCAGCCACCATCACCTCCCATCAGGCAATCACAGAGACCTCCCCACTGGGCTCCTGGGTCTCTACTGTCACCCCAGTACATTCCCCACCTTGGCTGTCAGAGGGATGCTGTTACAACTAAGTCTGGGAGCCACCTTAACCAGGGCAAGAGCCCACACCATTACAGAAGCTATAAGGCCTGTCGCCTCTCTGACCTCATCTCCCACCCCACTACCCTCTGTTCCAGGTGTATGCCAACCTCAATCCAACCAAAGCCCAAGGGACTTTGCATCTGCCATTATTATTGCCTGGAACCCTCTTTCACATAGGAGATCATATATTTCCAGAAGCTTTGCTGCTCAAATATCATTTCTACAAGCAGGAAAAAATAGTATACCCTTCACTCTGGTTTTTTTTTTTTTTAACCTTTTTCTGTGTGTGTGGCATTAGGGATTGAACCCAGGGGCACTTTACTACTGTGCTACATCTCTAGCCCTTTTCTAAATTTTGAGATTGCTAAATTACTGAAGCTGGCCTAGAACTTGTGATCCTCCTGCCTCAGTCTGGGACACCAGGATTCCAGGCGTACCTCACTGTACTCAGCCCCAGGCTGGTTTTGAACTCCTGGGCTCAAGAAATCCCCCTGCTTCAGCATCCCCAGTAGTGGGGACTATAGGCACATGACACTGGCACTACCACCTCCCGATAATATGTATTTACTGTCCCATATGTACACTTAACAACAGGAGTACCTCCTGAGAAGCATGGGATTCCACCACTGTGTGAAAATCATAGTGTACCTGCACAAACTTAGGTGGCATACATCGCTCACTATAGTGGCCTCCTGATGCAATAGAGATTCAGAGCACATGAACAGAGGCTGCTTTAAAAAAATAAATAAGAGCGCACTCTAGTGATAAAACACATGGCATCACAAATACAACAGTAACATGGTTATTTATTGTCAATATCAAATATTACATACTGTCCATAATTGTATGTGCTATTCTTTCTTTTTTAAAAATTTTTGTTATTGATGACCTTTATTTATTTATTTGTTTATACCGGTGCTGAGAGTCAACCCAGTGCTTCACACATGCTCAGCAAGCGCTTTACCACTGCGCTCAACCCCAGCCCCATGTACTATTCTTTTATGCCACTGACTTACGGTAGTGTTCACACCAGCCCCATCACGAATGTGAGTCACATTTGCACTGCAATGTCATGCCAGTGACGGCCTCATTAGGAATTTCTCAGCTTAGTCCTTGGGGACTCCTATCCTGATGGACATGCTGTTACAAAGTGCCTGAGTGTATCTATCTGCCCACAAGCTGCCTGTCCCACCAACATAAGGCTCAGAGAGGGTGACAGGTCTGATTACTTCACAACTGCATCCCACTGGTTAATGGGGATTGGCTGACCAGGTGTAGGGCAGGGGGGGATTCAGTATATATTTTTTGAAAACTCGTAAAGACTCATACACCCAGAGAACACTTACTTGATTTTATGGAATGAAGAGTGCCTGATTCTAGAATCACAGAATAAAGCAAATCAAGATGCTTAAAAGAAAATGATTCACCCATCCACTTTATCCAATATGATCAATACCATCATCAGTGTGCCTGCTCTTGTGCCAAGCCCATGCTAGGGGGTCTTGAGAACAAATCTAGGGACTCAAACAGCCCAATCCATTCCTGCCCCATGGGCTTAACATCCAGTAGGGTACACAATCTCATCCCCAGGCAAGAGGGCAGACCAAAGTGGGCAGAGTGGGAAGGAAGGAGCCCAGAGGGGGCAACACCCAGTCAAATGGAGGGGGTGGAAAGTGGTGTCCAGGAAGGGCGGACATATCTGAGCAAGGTCCTGAATGAGGAGGGGATAGATGCAGGGAGCAGGGTTATGGAAGGACTGCAGCTAGAGGCAACAGCAAACACAAAGGCACATCACTATAGTGGCCTCCTGATGGTGCACTTGAGGCACAGTCAGGAGGTCAGTGTGGAGCAGACAGGGTGATGACAGTTGGATGGAGAGCCTTGTGGGTTGTGACAAGAATTTGGGCCTCAGGGGCTGGGGTTGTGGCTCAGTGGTAGAGTGCTTGCCTTGCACATGTGAGGCACGGAGTTAGATCCTCTGCACCACATAAAAACAAACCAACAAAATAAAGATATGAAAAAAAAAAATTGGGGCCTTAGGGATGGAGATGTAGCTAGCATGTGTGAGGCACTGGGTTTGATCCTCAGCACCCCGTAAAAATATATAAAGACATTATGTCCATATACAACAAAAAATTTTTTTAAATAAAATAAAAATAATTTGGACCTCAATTCTGAGAGAGATGGGAGCACAAAAGTGGTTCTGAATCTTTGTAGGAAAAACAGGGATCTGGCCTACGTTTTCACTGCTGCCCAAAGAACAGACTGGGGACACAGGGAGAAGTAGGTGAGGTCACTGTATGGCCCAGGTAAATGTCAGTGTTTAGGAGAGGGTGGGGACAGTGATGGTGGGGAAAGGAGGTCAGATATGGATATGTTTTTAAGGTTGCGAGCTCTCCTTGAAGGATGCAAAGTGTAAACTAAAGAAAGGGTGGTCTAGGGAGACACCAATTTTTTTTTTTTCCTGATGCAGGAGACTGAGGGGAATGGGATTAAGGGCTATTTACATTTAAAAAACTTATCTGACTACTGTCACCAGTCCCCAGGGCCTTTCTCCAAACTAAGTTAACATTTAAGTATTTTAAGATAAACACTCAGGACTGGGGTTGTGGTTCAGTGGTAGAGTACTTGCCTAGCATGCATGAGGCACTGGGTTTGATCCTCAGCACCACATAAAAATAAAAAATAAAGATATTTTGTCCACCTAAAACTAAAAAATAAATATTAAAAAAAGATAAACACTGAGGTCTCCCAGATGGGAATTAAGCAAGTGGCCAAACACATTGTTTTAGGGGGTTTTTACTTTGTTGGATGCAGGTATTTGTGATTGAACCCAGGGGCACTCTATCACTGAGCTACATCCCCAGCCCCAGCCTCCATTTTTTTTTTTTTTAAGACAGGCTCTTCCTAAACTGCCCAGGCTAGCCTTGAACTTTCAATCCTCCTGCTTCAGCCTCCAGAGTAGATGGGATATCGGGCCCACACCACCAGCTAAAAAATTATGTTAAAGCCTATTAAAAAAATAAATAAATAAGGGCTGGGGTTGTGACTCAGAGGTGGAGCCTTTGCCTAGTATGCGTGAGGCACTGGGTTCAATCCTCAGCACCACATAAAAAATAAAATTTAAAAAATAAAGGTATCATGTCCATCTACAACTAAAAAACAAATGTTAAAAAAAAAAAACGAAATGAAGGAAGGGCCAGTGGAGGGACTTGTCACTTTCCTAAAGTACAAATGAAGTTGGAAAATGTTGAATCATTACCTGATACAGGTTGCAGAGTGGCAGGCAAGGGAGCCAACAGGGCCTACAGCCAATGGAGCAGGGGCCCTCACCCTACCCTATGACAAGGACAAACTTTTTCCACAGTCCAGGGGAAGCCCTTGAGGGTTTTGGAGCCAAGGTGTGACCTGATAAGAAACAGGTTTGAGAAACCTTACACAGCATGTCCAAGAAAGGCCAGGGCGGGCTAATCCATTCTCCCTGGTACCAGGCCCTAGAGGCCTTTATCATCTCAATCCAATTGGGGGGGGGGGGGCAGGGATTTCCTGCCCAAAGGTTTCAGGAAAAATGTCCAAAGTCATTTGCCACCGCTTGAAAAACCAACCCTTTAGACTAGATCTCATCATTTAGGTCCAGGCAGAGGAAGGGGATTCATTGATCTCCCTGCTTGGGGCCTCAGGGCACGCTTTAAGAAAATGAGAAAGGAGGAGCTCAGTGGACAAGCAACATTGGGCCAACCCTTTGCAGCTGCCAGGGTAGGGAACCAGCTGAGTTAACAGGTTAACAGCCAAGGGCAGGACCCAACTGAGCAGAGAACAGACGTGACCAGGCACATACCTTGGGATGCCCTGTCTTGAGGCAAATTTGTTAAATGGGGCCACCTGAGCAGGTACGAACCCTAAACACGCCTCTCCTCCGCCCCTGGGGGCAGGTCAGTTTTCTTTCAATTCCTCCGGGCCACTAATGGCTCTCCTTTTCTTATACTAAGTAGGTCCTCCCGGCCCCCAGGCGTCCACTTCCCACCACGCCCTGGGCGTTGGGCTGGACGTTCCTCCCACCTCCAGGCTCCCAAGAAACCCGTGATTCCACCCAGGGGAAGACGGGGGTCTCCCGACTGCCATCGTTGCTACTGTTATCATCCAGGTCCTCCTTACTTCCCCGAGGGACAGCACTCCGCCTGCCCCTCCGCCACCTGCGGCCGGCGCGATCCGCCTCTTCCCGCCACTCCGGGCCTTCCCGGGGCCGGGAACCTGCCCTTGATTCCCCACCGCCACCCCGTACTCACCCAGGTCCACAGCTTCTGGCGCCCACACTTCCGCCGGGGCCCCCGCTGCAGAGGCCCGGGCGGACCGCAAGCCTCCGAGCCTGGGTTCCGCCTGCGCCGCTGCCGCCGCCGCCGCCGCCGCCCCACGTGGTCGCGGCCGGCAGGGAGGCTTGGCTCCGGGCACCGCCCTGGTCACCGCCCCGCCGGCACCTTGACCGGCCAGCCTGTTAGTTGGGGACGTCTGGGATGCCCATTTTACGGAGCACGAAACTGAGGCTCGTAGAGGGAAAGTCTTCCCCGCGGCTGGGTCAAGGGCAGAGCTTAGCGTTTGGCCCCCGCCCGCGGCACCGACACGCTCCTACCCCGCACTTCCCGGGGCAACGCCACCTCCCCCGTGGCAACCTTGAAATCGTGCTATCTGCAGCCGCGGACGGGGAAATAGGCTTAAAGGACAGCAGCTGGGATGGACGAGAGAGGGTCATTTTGTCCTCCAGCTCTCCCTGCTGGCCAGGTTTACAAAACTGAGACCCTGAATGAGGAAACGGAACCTCTCAGCTCTAGGCCCGGGCCGAACTCGCTTCCTCCCCTGGTTAATGTCCACTTGGGCAGGGATCCTGAGTACCTCGGCTTTCCCAGGGCCTGGCACACGCGTGCTCTGCAAATATCTGTGGAAAGACGCCAGACACATAAAAGGAGGTCAATTCGTACTTGCTGACTGAATCATGAGGCAGAGTTGCTCGGAACCAGACCGGGGCTCCCTTTGCCATCTCACAACTTGCATTCTAGAGGGGGCGGGAAAAATAGAAGAGAGTATAAATGAGCAAATACATAAACATAAATGGGATCTTTCAACACGTGATAACTGGATGCCAAAAATAAAATGAAATAATCCCAGCCCAGTAGTGGCTCCCATTTATAATCCCAGTGACTCAAGAGGCTGAGGCAGGGAGGATTGCAAGGCCAGTCTCAGAAACTTAGCAAGATTCTGTCTCAACATAAAATATAAAAAAGTGTTGAGGATGTCTTTCAGTGGTAAAGCACTCCTGAGCTCAACCCCAGTACTGCAAAACGAAATAAAATAAGGGGCACAGCATTAGTGTGTGGCAGGGTTGGGAGCTTCATTGGGTGGTCAGAGGTGGCCACTTCAGGTAACCCTCTGGTTCTAACATTGTTTTGAGAACTGGGGAAACTGAGGTCCAAAAAGGAACTAGGACAGATGGAGGTCATCGAGGGTAATTTGCAAGGCCTTCAGCAGGGTGGGGCTACTTTAGATAGGCGGTCAGGGAGGCCTTCTGCTCTAGAGAGGACAATTGAGCTGAGACCTGAATGACAATATGCGGAACTCCAGGAGATCAGCATCAGGAATTCACTCAGGGCTGGGCTAGGGACACCTGTAGTAGGACAGACCCTGGCCCTAACCTCAGGGGGCATGCCTTAGGTTGGGGGGGGGGGTGGGCAGTCAACAGTTCTATACTGTGTCGTGGTCTCTGCCAGGAAGAAAAAAAAACTCAGAAAGGATTGAGGGTGGGGCAGAGTGTCAATGCCACTTCAAACAGCAGCAGATAGAATTGCTAGAGGAAAGAAGTTCTAGGGGCCCAAGAAGGGGCAGGTAGTTTGTTTGTTTTTATTTTTGGTACTGAGGATTGAACCTGGGGGCAATTTTTGGCTGAGTCACAGCCCAAGTTCTTTTAATTTTTTAGGTTGAGAAAAAGCCTTTTTGTGGAGGGGGGGGGGGAATGAGGGGGATCAAACCCAGGGCCTTGTGCACATGAGGCAAGCACTCTACCAACTAAGCTATATCCCCAGTCCATGGTCTTACTAATTTTTGAAGCTGGCCTCAAAATTGTGATCCTCCTGCCTCAACCTCTCCAGCCGCTGGGATTAAAGGCGTGCATGACCACACCTGCTGGGCTATTTGATTTTAGTGGCCTAGGAAAAAAGTAGATGTACATGATTACAATCCTCCTCAGCTCAAAACCCGTCCAGGGCTTGTTTCAGGAAAACCAAAAGACATGAAACGGACCAAAGGCCCGTGTGGTGGAGCCCCATTTTCTCACAGAACTCAATCCCTCTCCGCCCTGCCTTACACCCACGAGCGTTCCTGAATACCCAGACCGACTCCCGCACCTCCCTCGGTCTCAGTTCCGCGCTACTCTGCCCCGGCATGGGGAGAAAATTGCTGGCACGGGGTTACCCTGTCCCCATCCCTAGCTTTATTTTGCTCCTTGGCGCCTGTCATCACGGACGGTGCCCCGCAGTTTACGCAGGTTGTCTGTGTTCTGTGTCTCCCCCGCCACATAAGCTCCAGAGGGCAGGGTTAGTTGTGATTTTGTTCACTCCTGCATCTGCAGCCCTTAGAACAGCGCCGGGTCGCAGAAGGCACTCAATAAATGGTGTCCAGTTATTTTTTTCCCGCAATACGTTTAATGGAATAGTCCAGATTATTAGTGCCTGGTAAGAAAGGTGGCCGACCCCTTCCCGCTAAGGGTGTGTGGGGGCATCCCGTGCCTCAGTTTCACCGGCCCGAAAATGGGCTCTGTAAAACCTATTTCTGAGTCTCAGAAGAATTCGGAATGATCGGATTTGGCCACTAAGACGAGAGCGGAGGGTCGGGACTGCGGATTGAGTTTGGCGGCCGGCGGGGCCGCCCCGGCCTCTCCCGTCAGGCTCCGCCCCCGGTGGGCGGAGCCACGGCCTGGCCAGCACGTGTAAAAGTTCGCGGCGGGTCGCTGCAGCCACTCACCTGAGCGCCTCGCTCCGAGCGTGCAGCGCCCGCGCGTCCTCCGCCGCCAGGCCGCCCGCTCGCCCGGCCCGCGACTCATGTCCCGCCGCAAGGCCGGCAGCACGCCCCGCCGTGTAGACCCCGCGCCGGCCGCCAGCTCAGACGACGGGATGGAGATGTCCGACCTCGTCATCGAAATGAAGCCCGACCCAGACGTGCGGCCCCTGCAGGCCTTGGGGCCGGGGCCCTTCTCCCCAAGGGAGGTGTCGGCGCCGGGCCGGTTCGGAGGCGAGCCCCGCTACTCTCCCGGCTCCGTGCCTGCCGGGGCCACCCTCCCCGCCCTCGGGGTGCGGAACCAGTGGGCTCTGTGGACGCTGACCCCGAACCCTTCCGGTGAGCTCCCGGGGTAGCCCTCCTTATCTGTGGCCCCCAAGTGGGACCCCTGCCCTGTGCATGGGCCCCTGGGACAGCCTCATCGCCTTAGCCGCGTCCTGGTCCCAGCCCCCTTCTGACCTTCGGGTTTCCCCTCTCCCTCGGAACCCCCGGCCCCCATCCTGGCCCCACCCCGCGCTCACCACCCGCTTCCTCCCTGCAGACCGCCAGCCCTGGACCGACAAACACCCAGATCTGTTGACCTGCGGCCGCTGCCTGCAGACCTTCCCGTTGGAGGCTATCACTGCCTTCATGGACCATAAGAAGTTGGGCTGTCAGCTCTTCAGAGGCCCCAGCCCCTGCCTGGGCTCAGGTGAGTAACGACAGGCTCAGTCTCCCTCTGAAGTTCAAGGGCTCGGCTTCCTGCGGGAGAGGGGCTGAGGTGGACAAGCAGGGCACTGAGCATTACTTCCCTTTTCTCGCTCCCCACCGGGCGCAGCCTAGGCGTGGCCAGGGCCTGCCCGTCCTAGGGCAGGGACTAGAGGTGGGAGGGGGTGGGGCGGAGGTTGGGCAGGGAAGGAGGGCGGCCCACAGGGTGTGGCCAGCCCCAGAAAACTGGCCTGGGGATTTGCCACACACCCCCAATCTGGTTTCACTTCTCCTTCCCCTTGGACCGAAATAACTGGCCAGGTGGCTGGACCAGGGTGGCAGTAGAGGGACCTCTTGGGAGGGCAGTGGCCTGGGGGAGGGGCTTGGAGACCAGCTGGAAGGGGAGGCTTGCCATTCCCTTCTATTTGTTCATCACTGTTGATCAAGGTGCTGGGACAGTTGTTCAGAGCTAGGGAAGGGGCTTCTCTCTTGGTGCCATGGTGGAATCTCCCAGTAATCCGGGCTGGGAAGCCCCTGGTTTGAGCCAGTGGCAAGACACCTAGTGTCCTTCTCTTGAGGGAATTAACACCCTCTGAGGATTCCTAAGTTTGTGGCTGTGGGATTCACTCAAACCTATGAATTTATAGCCTTCAGCCAATGTCCTAGTTGGACTTTGGAAGTGGAATTACATTCAGGGCTGGGCCTGAGACAGTGGCTGGTGGGAGAGAGGAGGTGGGGCTTTGTGATGGTTTTAGTTTGCAGCCTGAGGGTGGCCTAGTGGGAGAGGGCAGGACTCTCATGAACTCCCTGGAATAATACTTGGACTCCTGATTGTGGGCACCTTGATATCCTAGGCTGGATTAATGTTTGAGGGCCTGTATGGACCAAAGCTCTCAACTGTCCCATATTTAAGGTCACAAAACCCTGGAAGGGAGGGAATCCCTAGGATCCCCACATTTAGTAGCTGAAGAAACAGGCTCATAGAGGGTATGTCTAGCTCAAGGTCACTCATCCAGTTAGCAGAGAAGTCTGAATTTGACTCCAGTCAGGCTGAGCCTCCCAAGTCTCTGCTGTTGACTTTAACACTGGTCCAGAAAGGCCACCCCATCCAAAACTGTACATCTAGAAAGTGTCCACTTGATAATACCCAGTGGGTCTAGAGAAAACCTTACAGGGGTCCATGCAATGGACAGGCAGGTTCCATCCCCTCATCCATGGGACGGAACCCTAAGCGTGGAGCCTGGAACAGAGAAGCCCCCTTAGTAATCAAGAACTGTTATTATTAAATCAAGTCTTTAAAAAAAAACGGTTTTCCACCCCTGACCCCACTGCCCAGATTTCTGATTAAAATCCTAGTTCCACCCTTTCCAAGCTGTGTGACATTGGGGACAATGTCTATTTTAGAGGTCGTTTCCTGTCCTGAAGGAAAGTTTTGAGTGAGCTGAGCCCAGCACCTAGCACATAGAAATGTTCACTGAATTTGGTCACCTTTTTTTCCCTCGGGTGCTGGGATGGAACCCAGGACCTTGGGAGTGCTAGGCAAGTGCACTCTCACTGAGCTACACCTGTAGACCCTAGTGACCTCTTCAGTAAGGCTGTCCTAACCCTGTATCCCATACAACATTCCCCTCCATCCTTCACTCTGACTGAAGTTTTTACCTTTTTCATCTTGCTGGAGATGCAGCTTGGTGCTAGAGCACTTGCCTTTGTATGCATGAGGCCCTGGGTTCCATCCCCAGCAACACAAAAAATAAATTTCAATTACCCAATCCTGGTGTACTTAGCGCTCACTAGAGATTTTCCTTACTTAAGGAGCTTCCTGGGGGTGGGGGTGGGGGTCTTCCATCTGTTCTTACTGCAGAGTTCTTGTGCCTGGAGTAGAGCCTTTCCCATGAAGGGGTCTAGCTGGCCACTGTGACCTATAATCCTTGTATCCACCAGCACTGACACCCTTCTCCTCCTTCTCTTCTCCAGAACCCAAGGAGGTGAAGGCTTTGAGCTGTCTCCGCTGCGGCAGACAGTTCACAGGGGCCTGGAAATTGCTGCGTCATGCCCAGTGGGATCACGGACTATCCATCTACCAGACGGAATCGGAGGCCCCAGAGGCCCCCCTGCTAGGCCTGGCTGAGGTGGCTGCAGCCGTGTCAGCAGTGGTAGGGCCAGCAGCTGAGGCCAAGGTTTCCCGTGTGAGTAGCCTCACCCGGCGGAGCCCCACCTGCTCAGTGTGCAAGAAGACCCTCAGCTCCTTCAGCAATCTCAAGGTGCACATGCGCTCACACACAGGTGAGCGTCCATACACCTGTGACCAGTGTCCTTATGCCTGCGCCCAGAGCAGCAAGCTCAACCGCCATAAGAAGACCCACCGGCAGCTGTCCCAGAGTCCCTCCTTGGCTGATGCTAGCCAGGATCAGGCTTCTGCAGCCCCTCCAGAGCCAGCTGCCCACGCTGCTGCCCCAGCCAGCACCCTCCGGTGCAGCAGTGGTGAGGGGGCTGGAGCCGCAGCTACTGCAGGTGTTCAGGAACCTGGGGCTCCTGGCAGTGGGGCTCAGGCAGGCCCAGGTGGGGGTGATTGGGGAGCTGTTGCCAAAGAACAGAGAACTGATCCTGCAAAGAGCCAGAAGATGTCACCTAAGAAGACCCCCAAATCTGCTGGCAAGAGCCGTGGGCCAGGGGGCAGCTGTGAGTTCTGCGGGAAACACTTCACCAACAGCAGCAACCTGACCGTGCACCGTCGCTCACACACTGGCGAGCGTCCCTACACCTGTGACCAGTGTCCCTATGCCTGTGCCCAAAGCAGCAAGCTCAACCGTCACCGCCGCATGCATGGCCTAGGGCCTGGTAGCACCCGCTTTGAGTGTCCACACTGCTGTGTGCCCTTTGGCCTGCGTGCTACCCTGGACAAACACCTGCGGCAGAAGCACCCCGAGGTGGGTGAGGTCGCCTGAGCATAAGAGTGCCCCCCCCTGCCTCTTGACACCTGTTGACACTGCCAACCTCCTTGTCCTTCCCTTTCTGCAAGTAAATCATACTCCCCTGTTCACACCCAGGCACCTGGTCTCTGGCTTTCTTGGGGTGTCTAAGGTGGGGTGGGAAGGTTCTCCCCCTTGGGATAGCTGGACAGACCGGTTTAGAGTGGGGGGGTGAGGGGAAAGGCCAGCCCCCAGTGCCTGGGGCACAGCAGGACTGGCACAGAAAGCCGTGCTCCCGGTTCTTGGTATGGGTGAGGCCAGGGCAGCGAGGGCGGGGAGAGAAGCCTGGACCTGTCACCAGAGGCCCCTGGGCACAGAGTCCTGGCCCATCCTCCACATGGAGAGTGCTGGGTGGGTCCTCCAGGCCACACATGTGGGCAGAACTCTCCTACCGGCTCAGGCCCCCTGCCTAAGCAGGCCTCACTGGGTTCTGGAACACACAGCTTAGTGTGCTTCAAAGTGGGGTTTGAAGGCCCTGCACCAACCCACAGATGACACACGGCCAGGTGAAGGGCATTAAATAACATTTGCTTTTATTTCACTAGAGAAAACCAGCAGCATCACAGCTTGAGTCCTGTGCCCCACCCCCTCCCTGTCCCCTATTCTTCTGCCTAATGTCGGTAATGGGGGCTTCGGGACCGAGACCTCGAGCGCCTGCAGAGAGAAGTGCAGTAGTGGGTAGGGATAGGGGTCAGCAGGTCAGGACGCAGCCTTGCTGTGAGCATGTGCAGCAATGCCTGGACTGGGTGGTCTCCCGATCAATCAATGATGCCAGCACCCCCCACTCTAGGTTGCAGGATGGGGTAATAGGGGTGATACCTCCCACCCAAGTACAAGAAAGTAATTTCCCAGCCAGTGGAGGGTTGCCCTAGGGAGCCAGGCAGACTGCCTTACCTTCTGGAAGAACTGTATTCTCGACCTAGAAAGGAAAGGATGAGTAGAGACTAAGCCCCTGCCCAGGGCCAAGGACTCCTCCCTGACCTGGAATGGGGTCCTTAAGACGGCTATTCCCATACTGTCTCTAACTGAGGTGACCAACGCTTCCTGCAGTCCACCAGGGTGCTGCAGACATGCTGTCTGCAGCCATCACCTATGCCCACATTCAAGCTCGCACCTCAAACATACCACTTTATAGATGGTGAATGGGAACGTGCCGCAGTCTTTGGTGTGATCCTGCCTGGCACTTGTTTTTATTTTCATTATGAGGTTTGGGCTGCTCCAAGGGCTCAGTGATCCACCTGCCTCGTACAACTGAGTAACCAGGATGATAAGTGCCACTGTACTGGGCTAACATTTTTTGATGGTGGGGACTGAACCTAAGGACACCTGACCACTGAGCTATGTCCCAATCCATGTTTTATCTTAAGACAGGGTCTCAATAAATTGCTGAGGCTGGCCTTGAACTTGGAATCCTGCCTCAGCCTCTAGAGTCACTGGGATTACAGGCATGTGCAACCATGCCCAGCTCTTGACTTTTTTTTTTTTTAACACCCCAGAGCCCTCCAGCCTTGAAAGTACCTTAGCTCTTCCAAATGACAAGTAGGTGCACTCACTGTAGCGAGGGGAGGGCGAGCGACTCTGCCGGCTGTACTGGCGCTCCCACTCTTCTCGCTCCTTCTCCCGACGTTCCCGCTCTCTGCAGGGAGAAAGTGGAGGCAACCAGGGGGTGAGGTGAGCACCTGCTATGAACACCAGTTATGTGACACCTGAGTCAAATACAGCCCTAAACCAAGGGGGCAGGTACTGCTGTCCCCACCTGGAAATGGACACTGGCTGGCAGTCAGGACTGGAGTTCCAGGGGGCCCTGGCAAGGAAAGCCTGGTCAAATACACCCAAGGTAGGCCAGACAGTTTGCTATCATTTCCATCACACTCTGGGGACATGCACACCCTCTGAGTGGTCAGGACTGGCAACCAATGGTTGTGTTTATTGGGTGCCATCTCCATGCCTGGCCCCAATCATGCCAAATCCTCCCAACAAGCCTATGTTGGGGTTGAGGATTCCTTCTCTATTTAGGAGATGGGTAAACAAGATCAAATGTGACAAAGGCCCACAGTACTGGGTGGCTAAGTGTGACGGACCCCAGTCCCTGACAACCCTTCAACTTTTTCCCCCGCAGTATTGGGGGTTGAACCACTGAACTACATCCCCAGCCCCACGCCCCCCAAACACTTTTATTTGAGACAGAGCCTTGTGAAGTTGCCCAGGCTGGCCTCGAACTTGGGGTCCCATTCTCAGCCTCCTGAGTATCTGGGGTTACAGGTGTGTGCCACCATGCCCAACTCTTCCTCCACTTGCTAATGGCAGCACAAAGCATCCTCTGAAGTTCAACACACAACAATGAAAAAAAATGGGAACAGCAGCAGCTCTGAGTATCAAGCATCAGGCCTTCCCACCCACCAGACACCGTGCTGAGCCCTGCAGGAGACCCCGTGGGCATGGGAGCATCACCACCTCTGCCTACAGTGGAGGAAGTCCCACCTCAGACATGGGACACTGCTCACCCACAGACTCACAGCCAACAACGGGATGGAACCACAACAACGGAGTCCCCTCTTTGCTGCACATACAGTGCTGCTGCTCAGAGCTAGCCTTGCTGCCAGAAGTTAGGGATTTATTTTTTTTTTGGGGGGGGGGGTACTAGGGAATGAGCCCAGGGGCACTTTATCACTGAGTTGTCTCCCAATTGCCCCCCTTTTGTTGAGACAGGGTTTTGCTAAATTGCTGAGGCTGGCTTCCAACTTACAATTCTCCTGTCCCAGCCTCTAGAGACACTGGGTTTACAGGTTTGCACCACCATGCCCAGCTGCACCCCCAGTTCTGCCCATGGGTCCTAGGCAAGCCGAAGTCTTATGGACACTACCTCCTGGTCTGCCCAGCGAGGTAGACACTTTGGACTGTCCTACTTCAGAGTATCAAGTGAGGTTTTGAGAGAGTCCCAGGGCCACATGACCAGAGAGAAGCACAGCTGGAATTGATCAAGTCTGTGACCCAAGCTCAGAACTCCTGACCAGCACAACACTGCAGGAGAAGCAAGCAGACAGAGGAGAAAAGCCCATCCCCAGCAGCAGGCCAGGTGCCAGGCACCTGCCACAGGACTGGCTAGCAGACCGCAGGCTTCAGCGAGACACACAGTGCGGGAGAAGGGCAGCAGGGCAGGGTGCTCTGGGTGGGACAGTCATGGAAGCCTGTGCAAGGTGAGGGGTTGGGGCATCAGGGGAGAACCACCATGGGCCAAGAGGACAACAAAGGAGGCGATCTTGGGCGATGTAGGGAGCAGAATGAGGGAGAGGAGCCAAAGGGCCAGGCACACCCTGTGGGCCAGTGAGGGCCGACTTTCATCCACCCACAGAGGTTGGGCAGGGCTCCAGCCGGTGGCGGCAGGAGGCCAGGGTGGGGGGCAGCCTTACTTCATCCGGATCTTGCGGGCCATGGCGCGCAGCTCATCTTCCCGCTCCTACGGCAGAGCCAGCTGTGAGGCATGGCCAGGCCAGCACCCACCTGAGCAGCACCCCACCCACGCCCTCCCCCTAACCTGGCGCTCATGCTCCTGCTGGATCATCTTCTCCTGAGCGGCCTTCTTATCCGCCTTGACTGCAGAAGGAAGGAGCATGGCTGAGGATTCCCTTGGAGTCCACCCTCCTACCCCACCAAGCGGGCTGGGCCCTCAGCACTGGGCAGCGGGGCAGGCACACAGCCTCCTCCCCAGGGGAGGGAAGGACGTACACTGCCTGTTCAGCGCCTTCTGCATCCTCAGCTTCAGCTTCTCCTGCGGCGTCAGCTTGGGCTGGGGAGGGGGAGAAGAGGCAGGAGGGGTGGGTGTCCCGGAGCCTCCAACCCACCTCAGGCAAGAGCCTGGGACTTGTGGGGGAAGGGACAGGCTGTGAACACCTGCCACAAGGCTCTGAGAGGCTCAGGGACACTGGAGCCCCAATATACAGTGAGGCAGGGAGGGGACATGGTTTCTTGAAGGCAGATCCCTTGGCCCCCTCCCTCCTCAATCCCTGGGACGGGATCTCCCGGCCCACCCGGGCCCCCCTGCAGGCCCACCGGGCCCAGCTCTTGGGCACTGCTGCTGGCGGGAATTAGACGGGCGAGTTCCAAATTCTTACTGACTTTGGCAGCTCCTGTCTCTTTACCAGCGGCAGGTTCGGTCCTGGTGGGAGGAAGAAGTGGCAACTGCCACCTCTGACCCCACAGCCCCAGCACAGCCCCCAGGAGCCAAGGTCGTGACCTCAGATCCCACAGGGAGTGACCCTGTCCCCCTCTGACCCCAAAGGGACAGGTTCCCACCCCAAACACCTCCAAGGCAGAGCCTCCATGTGGCAGTGTCCTTAGACCAACCCTGGAGAGGGCCAGGTCCCACCCAGACCTCCGGGAGTAGGACCAAGTTCCCTTCAGAGGGAAGGGAGCTCCAGTCCCCACCTGAGGCTAGCAACCCTCTTCCCCAGCCCGATCCCTGCTCACTTTTTCAGCTTCTCGCCCACAGCAGGGGACGCTGCTGGCCGGGTCAGCTTCTCCCTTGGGGGCGATGGTGAGTGACTCTGGCTATGGCTGCGGCTGCGGCTGCGGCTGCGGCTCTGGCTGGGGCTTCGGCTGTGACTGCGGGTCAGGCTTCGGCTTCGGGAAGGGCTGAGGGACCAGCTGCTGCGACTGCGGCTGCTACTGCGATGCCTGGGGCCCCGGCCACTCCGCCTATATCGGTCCCCTGAGCGGGAGCGGCTCCTAGGGTACAGTGGGGATAGGAGAACGTCTGTGAGGTTCCGGGAACTCTACACACTCACCCCCTACTTGCACACCGGAGTCCACCTGCAAGGTCCTGTATGTCCAGATGTGATCCTCTGCTTTATCCCAGAAACCCCAAGCTGTCCCCTGGTTAACCGCGGCCTCCAGCATCTGACTCGCTCCTTGTCCTCATTAGACACCCAGTTGTGACTTCTGGGGATGTAACCTATGGGTGGGCAGGACTCCGCCCCATACCATAACCATCCCAAGGTGGGGCACATAGTTTCCTAGGGTGTTCTCCTGCTACAGGAGGCGGGGGTGGGGTCGCACCAGTCTCCAGCACAGACCCGCAAGTT